ACGCCCCTACTATTAAAAGTCCTTAAAGTATTTGTCTGGTTTCCTAACCTAAACTACTAAAGTCCAAATTCCTCCAAACAAAAGCATGGTGAAGCCTATCACAGAAATACCCAAGTCCCTGATACCAACTTCTGTCTTAGATAGGGTTTCTATTGTGTAAAGAAATACCATAACCACAGTAATTCCTTTTATTCTTCTTTTTTTTTTCCTCTTGAGACAGGATTTCTCTGTGTAACAGTTCTGGCTGTCCTGGAAATTGCTTTGTAGACCAGGCTGACCTTGAACTCATAGAGATCCACCTGTCTCTGCCTCCCAAGTACTGAGATTACAGATGTGCACTACTACCATCCAGTGCAACCACAGAAATTCTTATAAAGGAAAACATTCATTTAGGGTGGCTTACTTACAGTTCAGAGGTTCCATCCATTATGATCATGGTGGGAAATGGTGGAAAATAGGCAGACATGGTTCTGGAGAAGTAGCTGAGAGTCCTACATCTTTCAGACAACAGGAAGTGGTCTGTGGCACTGGGCAGTATCTTGAGCATATGAGACCTCAAAGCCCATCTCTACAGTGACACATTTCCTCCAAAAGACCACATCTAATGAAGCAAGGCCTCCTAAGAGTGACAGTCCTTTTGAGGACCATTTTCTTTCAGACCACCAGGAAAGAGAAAGAGAGAGAGAGAGAGAGAGAGAGAGAGAGAGAGAGAGAGAGAGAATATCATCCTGAGTGAGTTATCCCAGACCCAGAAAGACTGACAAATATGGTATGTACCCACTTATATGTAGATATTAGCTATTAATTAATGATAATCAAGCTACAATCTGTAGAACCACGGAGGTTAGGAATAAAGGACTTAGGGGGATAGATCTTGTTAGGAAAGAGAAATTGAATAGATAGCTATGAATTGATGGGAAAACTGAAACAGGAGGATCAAGTGGGAAGGGGAACAAACAGGGGGAAAGACAGCTAAAATCAAGGACCAATTGAAGTGTAGAATGGAAACCTAATATAATAGAAACTTCCTGAAATATACACATATATGAAAATGATGAATGAAATGAAATAACCAAATAATACGAGAGACAAGCCCCAACTGGCCACCTCATGTCACAAAATAAAAACTTCAAGCATCGGGTTACATCTAATTGAGCTGTTGGCCAAGAGGGTCTGATAGGAATCTCCAAACAACCCAGGTTGTTGTCAAGACTATAGATTGGCCGGGTGGTGGTGGTGCATGCCTTTAATCCCAGCACTCGGGAGGCAGAGGCAGGTGGATCTCTGTGAGTTCGAGACCAGCCTGGTCTACAAGAGCTAGTTCCAGGACAGGAACCAAAAAAGCTACGGAGAAACCCTGTCTCGAAAATTCAAAATAAATAAATAAATAAATAAATAAATAAATAAATAAATAAATCTTAAAAAAAAAAAGACTATAGATTGTTCTCCGCAAACTGGCAGCAAGACCCCGTTGCTGAAGACAAAGACTATATATCTCATTGAACAAGGAGAAGTCAAGCTGGTACCTACATAGAGCCTTCACCTCTACATGCTAGCATCTTTGGCACAGGAGAGCACATAAAAATCCAACATAGCCCACAAACCCTTTGATCTACAATGCTGCCCTGCCTGAAAGATATGTTAGGACAATGGTGGCACAAAGCTTGTAGGATAACCAACAAAATGGAATTTGACTTAAGATCTGCTCCACAAGATGGAACCCAAATGCAACACTGCTTGGGTGATGAAAAACCCAAGACGAGACAGCCCAGGGACTTAGGGCAAAACCAAATACTACTGTTCTAAGAAGAAAAACATTAACTCCTAATGGCATTCTATTATATTCATAGATATACTCATAGATGATGACCTTGCTCAGCCATCACCAGAGAAGCTTCCTCCTGCAGCATGGGAACACATAGAGAGACCCACAGTCACATGCAGAGGTGAGAGATATTAGACTCATATGTTTCTAAATATCCTAAATGAGATATCTTCATCAAATTCCCCCAGAGCTCAGGGAACCTGGCAGAAGAGGGGACAGAAAGAGGGGACAAGTCCTAGGGGATGGAGGACACCAAGGAGACAAGGCCCTCTAAATCAACAAGTGCAAAGCTCATGTGAACTCACAGAGACTGAGGCAGCATGCACAGGGCCTGCTCAGGTCGGCACCAGGCCCTTTATGCATATGTTATGGCCTCAGTTTAGTGTTTAGATGGATTTCCTGAATGTGTCAATATGTAGGTCTCTGTTTCTTATGCCTTCTCTTTGTGTTTTTTTCTTTCTGTTTGTTTGTTTTATCCAATTCTGATGCATTAAATTTTTTCTTACTATATTTTGTTTTGTTAAAAAAATAAATAACAACAAAAAGACCCATAGGTTTGAGACTGGTATGTGTATGATGTGTGTGTATGAGTGGGGCACAAACTGAGTATGGCTGTGGTTGCTATATGTGTGGGTGTGGGGGGGGGTGTGTGTGTGGCCTTGAACAACTGTGTTCAGGGAAAATTTTGTTGATACAAATTGGACACCAAATTTGGGTTTTTTCCTCTTGCTTTATCTAGTTTATAAGAATGTCCTTGTGGTGGTGAATATGATCACTTTGACAGAATCAAGAATCACCTAGGAGACAAGCCTCTGTGTGTCCTTCAAGGGCTTACCCACATTATGTGACCTCTGGGCATGCCTGTGAGAGATTATCTTGACTCAGCTAAATGAAGACCCACCTTAACCATAGGTGCCACCATTCTATGAGTCGTGGTCCCGGACTGAACAAAAAGGAGAAAGTGAGCTGAGCGTGAACGCATATCCTTCTCTGCTTCCTGATTGTGGTATGATAGATACCATGATGGATACCATGATATGTGTGATTCAAGACTGGGGACCTCTCCACCAGGATGGACTGTATTCTTGAACTGTGAGCCAAAAGGAACCCTTCTGTGAGTTCTTTCAGTGAAGTGTTTTATCACGACAATGAGACAGGTCACTAATCCAGTTCCCAACAGAACTAGAGATTTGACCTAGTTGTCCCTGCAGTCGGCTTAGGCCTTATCGTTTCATTTGGAATGTAGTATTTAAAAACTATTTTAATGGGATGTTGCTGGGCCCAATGGGGCAATGGTTTGCCGAGTCTCATCAAAGTGCTAACAAGCATTTCTAGACCCACGGATGAGTGTTCTGTCTCTCAGGGCTCAGACTGTATCAGGAAGTGGTATGCAATTCTCTTCTTTAGATGTTACAGAGTTTTTCCAGAATGATGTATTTTGTGCTTTTCTCACTGGAGGCTGACACAAACACCATAGTTAGAAGATTTAAATGAAACGTGATCTTTCTCAGAGGTGAACATTTGATGGTAAGATCTACTTGATGGTAAGATCTAAGACCATTCTGAAAACCCCTTCATTCAACATGAGTTTGTGGTCCTCGACCCACTTATCCAGGACCACAGCTCTCATGGTGTTGGCAAGCACATCCCAGTTGAATCTGAAATGACAGTGAATCTGGAACACTGTTTCAACTCTTTCCGGGCCCCTGCTCTAAGACAATACAGCAAGCCCTAACAAGAGCAGTTAAAAATGAGGAACCAGGATCCTCAGATGTTATCAGATCACAGAAATGAATTAGGACATAGTAACCCAAAAGTAGAAATCCTAATAGCTTGAGTTTCTTCCAGTTTGATAGTCTGAACCTCAGCAGCTCATAAAATGCAGCCTGTAATTACGTCTGGGAGTTTCCAAAAGAGATGATTCCCAAGACCAGGCAGCCACATTGCCCAATCCCAGGGGGCCGGACTGACACCATGTTGGGGATGAATGTCAGTTCCAGAGCGCAACAGAGAGTCACGCTGTGTCGAATGTGGAAGGTGACAGTCCATGGTGTTAACGGTGGCACTAGGATTTGGAGTCATCAGACAGCAGTTCCTCATAGGATCCACCATGCTCTTTCTCATCAATTTCAGTTGGTCCTAGCAATTGTCTACCCCTAGGGACATTCTGATGCTGATGCTGAGAGTACTCTTCACAGTCTTCTCGCCATCCAAAGAGTCTGCTTCCTGTTGCTGGAGAGCACATGTATGCACATTGTAGGGTTGAGAAAAGGTCAGTCCCAATATCCATGACACTCTGCTTCCCGGGTTCTCAGGCCCTCTGCTCACAAAGTCTCTCGCTAACATCTCCTGTCAGCATCCTCTTTCTGTTCACGCTTCATCTCTTACCAACATCTCTTAACACTCTTCTTCACTGTCCAGTCTGTGATGGTCTTAGCATACTGATCCAATGCCCAATACACCATCACCTTCATGTGCTGTGTCCAGTCTCTCAATTTAACAAAAGATAAATAAGCATGTTACCTAAATTACATACTTTACTATCTATGGCAACTTTACCAGTGACTTTGATTTTTGAGGGGAAAATAATTGGGTGTTTGCCTATATCTAGGCACAAAATTTCATGACTTTTGATTTTTATAAATCTTTAGTTTGGGGCTAGAAAGATGTGTTGGTGGTTAAGAGCATTTTCTGTGCAAGTGCGAGGTCCAGAGTTCACGTCCTAACACCCATGTAAAAGCCAGGCCATATATGCCTGTAACCCCAGCACTAGGAGGCACTGACAGGTGGATCCAAGGAGCTTGCTGGGCACTCAGGCTACAGAACTGGTAAGACTCAGGTTCAGAGGAAAACCCTACGTCAAGGAAATAATGGGGGGAGATATAGAGGAGGACACTGAGTATCTTCCTCTGATCTCCAATTGTGCATGTAGGAGATGCACATGCACACACACAAACACTCTATACACACACACATACAAACACACACACACATACACACAGACTCATTTTTTGACTTACTAAGTAGATTTCATGTTTATAAAGATATTCTAGGACCAATTCTCTCAAAGAGGCTGTTTTAGTTAGGGTTTCTATTGCTGTGATGAAACTCCATGACTAAAGCAAGTTGGGGAGGAAAAGGTTTATTTGGCTTATTCTTCCATATCACTGTTCATCACTGAAGGAAGTCAGGACAGGAACTCAAACAGGGCAGGAAACTGGAGGCAGGAACTGATGCAGAGGCCATGGAGGGGTGCCGCTTACTGGCTTTTTGCCACATGGTTTGTTCAGCCTGCTTTCTGATAGAACCCAGGACCACCAGCCTAGAGATAGCTCCACCCACAATGCATTGCGCTCTCTCCCATCAATCACTAATTAAGAAAATGCCCTACACACAAGTTTGCCTACAGCCGAATCTTATGGAAATTTTCTCAGTTGAGGTTCCCTCCTCTTCGAGGACTCTACTTTTTGTCAAGTTGACATGAAACTAGCCAGCACAGAGAATGACTGAATGACTGCCACCTATAGGCATACAACCATCTGGGTGACATGACAGGTAGGTGCTCCTTCTCAGAGAGGAAAACTCGTGTGACACCTCATGTAACTTCACGCATCTGACATTCTACAAGCGTCTTAAGGACATCTGTATTGGCTCTGATGTCATATTTCAGCTCCACATTAGTAAGGAAGTCTGAATATTGCTCAGTGATCAGAAGCCCTGTGCGGCAAGCACACCAACACTAATTCAAGGAATGGGTGTCATCACCATTGGTAAAATACGCTAGGACAGGGGTCGGATGATCCTCCCCTGGCTATTTCAATTCTTCACACGTAGGGCTTTTATACTGCTTCATGGTCTGCATTTTGCCTTTAACTGTGCTGTCTTCAGTTGGAGATCTCTCGAAGCATTCTTCTGCTTAGGGTCAGACATTTCAACTTCGATTTTTATATTCAGATCCTTCTATTGGTAGAATAATAACACGAGGCCAATGTCTGCATCAATATCCTATAATCCAATAGAAAAAAAATTCAATTTCTAGTCGAGTCCAGCCTAGTTGTCAGCCACCACCATGGCTCTACTCCTGCCAATGATTGCCTGATCTTTAGTTCTCAACAGCAGTTTTAGTTATCTTTCCTTCAGCATTTCAAAAACCACTGGATCAAGTCTCATCTGGAATGACACACTAGCCTTACATTTGAGATCTATTAAGTAATATGAAAGAATATGCAATCTTCTGAGCAAAGTAACAGTGCGCCTGGCTCCTGAGTCTCTTCACTCTTGACTTCTTTCACGATTTTAGTAACTAATGACTTTAACTATAGAAAGGAAATGATTGTATAGAAAACCAGTCAAGTATGTTTATATTGATGTAAGGGGTGCTCTGATATAAAAAGTAGCACCTACAAAACCACACTAGTTCTAGAAAGATGCCTGTCTATCTGTGATTGGGTTATCAATAGATAGATTATACACATAAAAGGAAAAGTTTGAGTAATTAGGATGATTTGCCTCCCGGAGCCATTGTTACTTTAATACACAAACTATTTTGACTGTAGTCCACAAAAATACAAACAATCTAAACCAAACATATTCATAAAATACCAAATTAACAATTGTCTTAGTTTGTATCATGAATTCTTTTTTTATTATTAAAAATTTCTGCCTCCTCCCCACCTCTCATTCTTCCCTCTTCCCCCTCCCCCCCTCAGTCCGAAGAGCAGTCAGGGTTCCCTGCCCTGTGGGAAGTCCAAGGTCCTCCCCCCTCCATCCCATCCAGGTCTAGGAAGGTGAGCATCCAAACAGGCTAGGCTCCCACAAAGCCAGTACATGCAGTAGGATCAAAACCCAGTGCCATCATTGTCCTTGGCTTCTCAGCAGCCCTCATTGTTCGCCATGTTCAGAGAGTCCGGTTTTATCCCAAGTAGCATGAATTCTAATTGGTCTTAATAATAAAAACCCAGAGTCTATAGGGGTTAATGCTGAAAGATCAGAGAAGCAGAGCAACCAGCCATTAGAGTTCTTACTTCTACCAATGCTCAGACCGAAGGGGGCAATACTGTCTCTAGAAATCCTCAGACTGCGTCTCCAGACTACAGACTGCAACTAAGGTCCTATCTCCTCCCATCTTATATTCCTCCTCTACACAGTCATATCCCTTCTGCCTCCACTTCTCTAGTGCTGGGATCAAAGGTGTGAAAGCTGTTTCTCTTTGAGAATGGATCAGTCTAGTCTAGCCCAGGGTGGCCTTGAACTCACAGAGATCCCTCCATCTGCCTCTGTCTCTGAGAGTGCTGGGATTAAAGGCATGTGCAAACCATCACCCAGCCTCTATGGCTAACTAGTGGCTTAGCTCTGCACTCTGATCTTCAGGCAAGCTTTATTTGTTAGATTACAAACCAAATATCACTATATTAGTTATCTAATATATAGTTATAATAAAAATGAGGAGAAATAAACATGACAGATGCTGAAACCAGAATTCCGGGCGCAAAAGTAAAGGAGACTGGTAAAGAAGTAATGAAGTGTAGCCCAAGAAAAACATCAAAGTCAGGCAGTGGTGGCTCATGTCTTTAATCCCAGCACTTGGGAAGCAGAGCCAGGTGGATCTCTGAATTTGAAGCCAGCCTGGTCTATAGAGCGAGTTCCAGGACAGGCAGGGCTATAGAAAAACCCTGTCTTGAAAAACAAACAGAAAAAAAAAAAGAAGGGGGGGATCTAAAGGGACAAACACATATATTCCTTCAGCAGAGGAAAGCTATGACAATGAAGAGGCAGACATGGGCCAGTCTGCTGCTGCTGAGATTTCTGAAGTAGGTGAACTCAATTACTAAAAAGACCACAGGGATTTTTGCTATATCAGCAAAGATAATATGAGGTCAATATTATCTTCATATAAGAAAATTCAAAGTGGTGCCCCAAAGTGAGATCAGTTAAAAGAACTGTTCAAAGGATGGGATTGTCAAACTTAGTTTATGGCATTCAGGAGAGGCATATACCAGGTAGCTGGGTGCAGAGGCTAGGGCCAGGTAGCAAAGGCTAGACCAGGACACGGGTTTGGGAATCATCATTTTAAATGAAGCCAATGGAATTTGTAAAAGGATAGGTGTTCTGTGTAGTTGTTGGGTTTTTGTTTGTTTGTTTATTTGTTTACTTTTTAGTTTTTTTGGCTCTTTGGGACCCACCACCCAGTTCCCAAATAAATCACATGATTCTTATCCTTTCTTATGAATGCCTGATCTTACTTTGGCTTGTTTCCATGTAGCTTTTCTTAACTTAAATTATCCCATCTATCTTCTGCCTCTGGGCTTTTACCTTTTTCTATTTCTGTATCTTCCTTTATTTCTTACTCCATGACTGACTGTGTTGCTAGGTGGCTGGCTCCTCAATTTTTTTCTTACAGATTTCTCCTACTATGGATTCTCCCTGCCTGCCAGCCCTGCCAACCCTTTCTCCTGCCTTGCTATTTGCCATTCGACTTTATTAGACCAATCAGGTGTTTTAGACAGGCAATGGATCACAGCTTCACACTGTTAAGCAAAGGCAACACAAAATAATGCAACACATCTTTGCACCATTAAACAAATATTCCACAGCATAAACAAAGGTAACACATCTCAAATCAATATTCCACAATAGTTCTGTTTGTGTTTGTATGCTGAAATTCAGACTCTTAATATGCAACATTAAGATGTGAGACCTCTGAGGGGGTTCTAAGTACAGGGCTCTCACACATGGAACTATAGTGACCGTATCAAAGGGGAACTCTGAGAATTGCTACACTTGCTTTCTGAAAGATGAGGAAATGACAGTCGGTAACATTCATGAGGACCCTCGCCAGAATTTCAGTATGAGGACACTATGATCTTAGATTTCCAGCCCACAGTCTGGTGAGAAAACGCTTCTGTGGTTTCTAAGTGAGCCAGTCTCTGATACTTCGCTGAAATGGCCTAAGTAGACTATGACCGGTGCTTTGAGAAATGAATTAAGGGAAGATTTGGGTTGTAGGAAGATTATCCTGCCAATGGTGAAAGCTGATACCCCAAAGAACAATCCAAGAAACAACTGGCCTTTAAGACGAAAAGCGGGAGTATGTACAGTTGTGAAATCTAAGGTAACAGAGATTTTGAGACAATGGAAACAGTCAACAATAGTGCAAAACAACTCCCAAGCCAACCGAGTAATGCTTTACCCCATGAGCTAGGAAAGAAGGCACGGATGAACAGAGCAGCACAGTTTGTTCTGGGCGCAGGGTGGGGCGAAACCACTGCCACTGGCCACCAGGAACTTGCTATGTTGATCAGTCTAGCTTTGAACTTGCAAAGATTAACCTGCTCCTGTCTCCTAGTCCAAGTGCTGGGATTAAAGGCACATGCCACCTTGCCCAGCAGCCATCCACAGGATAAAGCCTCCTAGAACCGTATCAATACTTAACATCAAAGACAAAAGTAAAACATACATTTGAATATTAGCATAAGAGAAGTTAAAAGCAGTACAGGAAGGTCTGTTGCCTGTAAAATAGAGTACCATTAGAGATTTGCTTTCTAACAGTGAACTGTATACAGGGCTCATCCGCAGCAATAGTTAAGTGTTACAACAAACACAAACCAACACTCTCACTACCATTCAGATTACACAAAACCCTGGCAAAGAGTTTTGCAAAAGTAAGCATTCCATCAATATTTTTTGATTTAAGAAATGAAGAAATGGAAATAGGATGCATTACAAAATATCCTGAGGAGACAGTAAGACAGCTTTTAACTGAAAACAAGTATAGTAAAAATGTGTGTGGTAATTTAACATACAAGAAAATTCTTATGTGATAAATGGATATACATACAGGATCTTATTAAAACCTGAGAAAGAACCAGCAAAGAATTTCTCTCATGGATTCTTATTACCCATAAACCACGATGCAAAACCATCTGTACCGAAGCATCAGAAAATACTTTGACTTCCAACCATGTATGTTCAAAAACATCAGACAAATCAACAGCGATGGAGATAGATTGATAAGAAATATACCTTAGGCAGGTAATTGAATTCAGTAACAGTAGTAACACACACACCAGAAATGCCTGGCAGAGCTGTAAGGGTCTATTTGGGATGCATAGAAATGGTAAAATAACAGCATTATAAAGACTGCTATATTTTTCATCTAGTTCCCTAATGTTAACCTCTCCCTCTCTCCTCCTCCTCCCCCCTCTCGCTCTCTCTCTCTCATATATATATATGAGAGAGAGAGAGAGAGAGAGAGAGAGAGAGAGAGAGAGAGAGAGAGAGAGAGAGAGAGAAGGTTTCCCGATATAGCCCTGGCTGGCCTGGCGCTCACTCTGTAGACCAGGCTGGCCTTGAACACACAGAGACCTGCCTCTGCCTCCTGATTGTTGGATTAAAGGTGTGGGCCCTTGCTGCCTGGTGTTCTTTTGTCTTTTAACTAAGGAGTCCCCAACCATTGACTCCCGCTCCCCCACCAAGCTGGATTCTTAGGGTTTGTCATCTTTTCTGCACAGTATGCCCCATTCTACATTTGTTTCCTGGGCTTACATTCACACTCTTTTGGCTCAAATAATAATTGATGCGCCACAAGAAATTTACATAATGTTGAGTTCTAGTCCTCAACAGTGATGCTAAGGATTCCACATCGCTCCCTCTCTCCCTCCCTTCCTCCCTCTCTCTCACAACACACACACACACACACACACACACACACACACACACACACACGGTTAAGTAGGTCTTACTCGATGGAAAGAATTCTGAGAAACTGTTGCCGCTTGGCTACTTTGCCACAGTAAAAACGTACACTGGAAAACTATATTCAAATTTGGCCTGGAGCACAAACCCGTGATCTTAGAAGATGGCAAGTTCAAGGCTAGCCTGGGCAACTTAGCAAGACCCTGCCTCAAAATGAAAAGTCACAAAGGACTGGGGATAGAAGCACATGTTCAGTAGTAGAGTACTTGCCTATCATGCACAAGGCCCTAAATTCAATCTCTAACACCAAAAATAATTAATAAGGAAGCAAAACCCTACATTCAAAAGCTAACTGAATTAAAAACCCTTCATTCAAAAGATATTTAAATTAATTTTTCCCTGTACAATTATCAATTTAATATACAATTAAGTTTGATTAAGAAGACTTTACTTTTTCATTTATTTAGAAATGTCTCATTTTCACCCTCTACTCTTCACTGTACTCTTTAAAAAATAGTTATTACTATTTTATGTATGTGTATAGGATATTTTGAGTGTCAGCACACATGTGCCGCAATCCTCATATGGAGGGCAGAGTACATATCTTGGAATTTTTCTCCTAGCTTTACAAGGGTTGTGAGTCTTGAGCTTAGGGCATCGGGCTTACACAGCAAGCACTTTGCTTACTAAGTCGTCTCGTTGATCCTTCATTCTATTCTGACCCATCCATATTATTCTTTCAAACACATATGCAGACATTGTACTCTCCCCTTACTCATGAAGAATATGTTTCAAGACTCTTAGTAGAAGCCTGAAACTGAAGATAAAACCAAATTTTATATCTGTTTTATTTATAAAATAGATATATCTGTGACAAAATTCAATTAAGCATTTAGGCAAAATAAGAGATGGAAAACAATAACTAAAATAACAGAGCAATTGTAACAATGCACTGTTATTAATTTGACAGTCTCATTTGGGGGCTATTACTAAGTAAAATAAGGGTGAATTGAACAAAAACACTGCAGTACTTTGATGGCTGATCTGATAACTGAGACAGCTACTCAGTGACGGACAGAAGGTCAGCACATACTACATCGATAAGCTGTGCAAAGGGAGACTCTCATTTTAGGTAAGGCAGAGGAGTGCTGCAAAATGCCGTAACTCTGCTCGATGGAGTGGGATTTAAAGCATGAATTATAGGATAGTGAGGGCATACCTGCAATCCCACTTTTTTGAAGGCAAAAGATGGCTCAAGTTTAGGGTTTGCCAGGTCTACACAGTGAGTTCCAAAAGCTAGGGACAGGAAATGAGGACCTTTCTTTACCTCTCTGCACAAAAAAAAAAAAAAAAAAAAAAAAAAAAAAAAAAAAAAAAAAAGCAAAACAAAGCCCCAAGCCTGATAAATTCTGGAATTTTTCCTCTAATATTTAAGACCACAGATGACCACAAGTAGCTGAAAGTATAGGAAGCAAAATTTCAGAAGGCAGTCAAGAGTAGGCTGTTCTAAGACTACAGTCCTCCTTCCCCATTGCCACGAGATAACCTATCATACTTCACCTTCTATAAAAGCAAAGAAAAAAGAGCACAAGGATCTGGACAGATGGCTCAGCAATTAAGAGCACTTACCGATCTTGAAAAGACTCAGGTTCGGTTCCCAGCAGCTACATCAGGTAGGTCATAACTGCCTATAACTCCTATTCCAGGGGGTCTGATGTCCTCTTCTGGTCTCCTCAGACATCTGTGTATATACACAGTGTACATATGGACAAGCAGGCATACACACACATAAATAAAAATAAAAATTTAGCACAAAAATAAATTCACAAATAATACTTTCAAGAACTCTATGTGGTGGCTTGAATATGAATTGCTCCCGTAAGCTCATATACTTGAATGTTTAGTCACCAGGGAGTGGAACTTTTTGATAGGATTAGAAGGATTAGGGGGTGTGGCCTTGTTGAAGGAAATAAGTCACCGGGGGTGGATTTTGAGGCATTAGAAGCCTGTGTCAGGTCCAGTCTTGCTCTGTCTGACTGCAGACCAGGACAGAGCTCTCAACTATTTCTCCAGCACCACACTTGCCATGCCTCGTGCCATGTTCCCTGCCGAGAAGATAATGGACTAAGCCTCTGAAAGCGTAGACAAACCCCTAATTAAATGTTTTCTCCTAACAGTTACCATGGGCATGGTGTCTCTTCACAGCAATAGAACAGTGACTAAGACAGTCTTGATCTCAATAACATACCCAAGGCTAGTGTGAGCAAGATGTTATGATAAAATAATATTGTGACACGAATGTCTTTTGTTAAATGTTAAGAACACAGTACCCTAATATATTTCATGAACCTAGAAGCAAGGTTTTCATGGGTAAAAGTTAGATAGCCTGGTAAAAGGGAGGTGCCAGTTGAAGATATTATCAAGATCCCCATAATTAAAAGATGTGGGTCGAATCTGGAATTCCAGAGGGAATTCCAAGTACTCCTCTGGAGGAGAGCTGGCCTGAATCCAGTCCTGTGACTCTATTTCCATTCTTATATGTATATATTCCATACTTTCTTCATCCATTCTTCCATTGAAGGGCATCTAGGCTGTTTCCAGGTTCTGGCTATTACAAACAATGCTGCTATGAACATAGTAGAGCATATACTTTTGTTGTATGACAAGGCCTCTCTAGGGTATATTCCCACGAGTGGTATTGCTGGGTCCAGGGGTAGGTTGATTCCTAATTTCCTGAGAAACCGCCACACTGCTTTCCAAAGTAGTTACACAAGTTTGCATTCCCACCAGCAATGGATTCTTATGTATCCAGCTTGTACCAGTTGCTGACCATTAGGTAACAAAGAATACGTTATCCACAATACTAACATTATTTCATAAGGAAAACCAACTGTGATTAGCTATGTATCAATGACCCCAGCTGGAACTCTAGAAGCTTCTAAAAGGCTGCTTACTTCTTTTTTTAGAGTTGAGCATATTGATGTGCTGACAAGTAGGTTCCCCACCGTCCATCGGAATGCAGGATTGAGGATGGGAAAAGCGGCTAGACGGCTAGTCATAAGCTCACCTGCAAGGGAGAAGGGTGACACACCACAGAGCTCTACCTATTCCGGCCATTAGCTGAGGCAGTGGGGGAGATCACGCCAGCACTTCCGGCCACATTGCCCTTCCCATTTTCTGTGGATGTGTGGATGCTCAGGGGGAGCGGGTGGGGTGGGGTGTTGAGACAAACTTCTAAGAACTGTTGACTAAAGCGTCTGTAGGAATGTAGGATTCTAGACAGTACTGTTTTGATGTTCATACAGCATACCACAACACAAAAGGAAAGTATTCTGTTTCTGTTTAGATTCCATCCTGGCTTGGTTTATTCCAACTCCAGGAACACTGTTTGGGGTAGAGGCTTTCAGCATATCCACCCACGAATGGCAGCACAGGGCTGTGGGAAGAGGTGGGAAGGCAGGCTGTGTCCAGTGACAAAGGACTTGTACCTACCTTTGCATGCAGCAAGGCCTCAAAAGTTGTCAAGATAAAGTGAGGGTCTGGTCACCAGACTACTGAGATTCTGAGATATATCTTGGTAATTCCCTGCCACAAAGCAGAGAGGACTGGACTTGTGTGGAATCTTTTTGGGAGTGAGTGAGACAGAGAGAGCACAGTCAGTTCTATAGAGAATCTAGTTCATTTTTTTCAAAAAAAGGAAAGGAAGGAAGGAAGGAAGGAAGGAAGGAAGGAAGGAAGGAAGGAAGGAAGGAAGGAAAAGAAAGATGGTAGTTTTAAAACAACTCTAAATCAGGCCAGGCATGGTACGGTGGCACATGCCTTTAATCCCAGCAGCTCTCTAAGAGTTTGAGGCCAGCCTGGTCTACAGAGTGAGTTCCCAGGCAGCCAGTGCTCACAGAGTGAGACCCTCTGAAAAAACGCAAAACAAACTAACAAACAAAAATGTTCCACAGTATCCAGAAAAGAAACAATGAAGAGAAAGCATAAACTTTGGTGCCCAAGGTTCAGGATTTTCGTGTCAGTATGTCAACATTTTGACTACATAATCCCATAATGGGTAAGCTTAAATTCCTCTTTATTGGGTTTCTTTGGTATGTCTTTTTTATTGTTTGTTGTTAATGTTTCTTAGATAGGTTGTCACTTTATAACATAACCCAGGCTGAGAGCCTCCAGCTGATCAGCCTCCTGTCTCAGCTTCCTGAGCTCTAGAATGGCATACCACTATATCTGGTTTTGCCTTGTTTTTCAATCTATAAGATGATAGTAATGATGATGATGATGATAATAATACCAACCCAAGATGGCCTATCTAACAACAATAAAACAATATAAATAAGCTACTGCAAACAAGCACAACCAAGGATCTAAGCTTGTTCCTTGCAATATTATAGCATTGTGGGGCTCAAATATTACAGCTTTGCCTTTTGCAAAGTGTGAAATTACCCTCAAAATTCAGACAAAGCAAAACAAAGGTGGCTTATCTCTTTGCTCCACATCTGGGGCTTCAGCAGAGTAAGACTCCATGCCTGGGGGTATCTGCAGGGTTGAGGCGTGGAATGCTCCAGAGGCTTTTACGCACAGAGCTGAAAGTTAACCTGGAGTGACAGCTAAGGACCCACATGCGGTCAGACTCTTCATGTACCCCAGCTTCTTCTTAGTATGGCTACTTCAGGGTAACCGAACTTACAAGGCAGGGCTCCAGTGCCTTCTGTTCCAGTAAGCGAGCTGAAAGCTGTTTCATATTTTGTGGTTTAGCTCCCAAAGTCACACAGCACCACGTAGGCTGTGTTTTTTTGGATACAGGGAAGTCACTGAATCTGGCTCAAATTCAGAAAGAGGGTATCTGGATCCTGCCTTTTTGATGGAAGTTGTGTCAAAGAATTTCCAGCCTTTTTATTCTTTTAGTTTTATGAGACAGTGGTTTCTCTGTGTAGCCCTGGGTGTCCTGGAACTCACTCTGGACTGGCCTCGAACTCAGAGATCCTCCTGCCTTTGTCTCCGAAGAACTGGAATTAAAGGTAAGTGCTATCACCCCCAGCTTTTTTTTTCTAACTGTGGGATTTTAAATGCCCCCAAAGAAGTCTCAGATATCTAGATTTGAAGACAGTGTCCTATTTTACTTTTCATTGCTGTGATAAACACCATGACCAAAACCAACTTGGGAGGAAAGGGTTTATTTCAGTTTCCAGGTTCTAGTCCATCACCTAGGGAACCTAAGACTGGAGGGAGGAACCCGGGGAGAAACCCAGAGATACAACTGCAGCAGAGACTGTGAAGAAATGCCGCTTGATGGTTTGCGCCCCACGGCTGGCTTGCTCAGCTTGTTTAAGTTATTTATTTATGTATTTATTTATTTTCGCAGTTGAGGACAGCTTTTATTGGTGACAAGGAAACAATCATAGAGCAGGAACACACACAAAATAGACCCCACACAAAGCTGAAAAAAATCTAGTGTCTTCTTCAGTCTCTGAAAGGTCTTTCTTCCCTAATTTAGGGCTGGTCAGTTTAAAGAAAGACTTGGTGGCTGATCGGCCCGCAGCTGGTGTGTAAACCTATCCTGATCTGGCTTTGAGCTTGTCGAACCAGTCCATCAGCAGGGGGCCCACTGACAGGAGAAAAGACCACAAGGCCCTTTAAACTGCTATGCTTTAGTCTCAGGTCAGGAAGGTAAGGAAAAAGCCGGCCATCTTGAAAGTTCAACATCTTTATAACCTAGGCATGGTTCTTCTCCCTATCTGTCTGCCTGCCAGGGAATCTAACTCCTAGTCCCACCCCCTTTGAAGGACACCCTAAGGGCTCTTAGGGGCCTGGGACGCAGATGGTTCTTACCTGCTGACAGAAAAGGTGAGAAGTGAGGAGCAACGGTGACTCAGAGGAGAGTTAATCTAAGGGCTCACGGTAAAACGTTGGTCCAGAACATACCACCACCATTTGGTGACAGTATATTCTTGACGTGTGCTGGGAGGGATGTTGCGTCAGCAAAAGATGCCTCGGGCCATCTGTACCACAGGCAATGTCCAGTGGAAGTGGACAACAACCTGAGTGAAATCCAGGTTCTATTTGCTGAAGTCACAACCAGACAGTAGCATCTAAGTGACAACCTGGATGAGTTGGTGGTCCTCAAAAGGAATCCTGGATAAGGTCTCAAAAATGGTCCCACTTGGGGGTCTTGATTGGGTTCCTTTCTCTGCCAGCTAAAGCATTAAAAGGCAGGAAACATCTTGAGCCTGGCTGTGCCTGGAAGCAGTGGGGAAATCTGGAACGCAGCAAGGAGAAACAGACAGAATCAGCAGCTGAAGAAAGGCTTTTATTGAGGGTGAGGAGACACACACACATACAGCAGGCACACTGTTACCCAAAACTAACCAGGGGTAACAAAGTTGGGCGAATGGAAACTAACAAGAAGGCACATTAATGGATAAGGTCAGCCATCTTGTGAAGAGACAATCATGGAAGACACGATCACTGTATACAGATGGATGCTGAAAGGGCTAGTGTTTAAAATGCAACCACTGAAAATGTCTTAGAAGTTTAGTGTTATAAAGAAGAGATATAATGATATATTCTTAGGAAATAATTTTTTAAAAGCAAACTAGGACAGTTAGTGACTAAAAACAAACAAAAACTCCAAATCCTGACAGTTGGGTTTCAAATCAAGAGGGGGTCCCTTGCCTGGTTGCGGCTCTGCTTTACTGCCCTTAGTCATTATATGTTTTTGGTTATTTCTCAAAGGTGCCTTAAACTAGCGCAGCTTTGATAACATTGTCCCTATGATCGTCCCCCTCTCCCCTCTGTTCTTCAAGACAGGGTTTGTTTCTTTAGGCAGCAGCCCCGCTGTCCTGGAACTTGCTCTCTTGCTCTGTAGACCAGGCTGACCTCAAACTCAGAGATCCACCTAAAGGCATGCGCCACCACCGCCCAGCTGTTTTTTGGTTTTTTTTTTTTTTTTCTCCTTTACTCGTATCTGTTAAACCATCTTCTGACTTAAATGTAGTTCTCAGGGGAACTTCCCTACTTGAAGAGAATGTCCAATGACATTGACAAACACAGGATGGTTATTTGATCGGTAGCAATTTTTTTTTTCACCATACAAGAACTTAAAGTTTGATTTGCCAAGCAGTCACACGTGTGCCTCTTACCTTGAAACAGCAGCATCAGCTCCCAGGCTGATGGAGACCAGATCAAATGCACAGACATCCTGTTTGAGAAGCTTTCCTACCTCTCAAATCTTCCTAAACACAATAAAGAGGTTAGTGGTGACTGCCCCCTTTCCATCAATGGAAGTGCACACACACACACACACACACACACACACACACACACACACACACACAAATCAAGCTCCTGTGACTCCATGTTGAGTTACTTTGGCAGTTAACTGCACACTCTCAGGAACATCTGTTTCTCTCTACTGCTTTCTCTTTTCCTTAACATACACCCTCTCTCCATTTTTCCCTTCTTTTGGGTAAATGTATTTTAAACAATAAATTGGATTTAATTTAATTCTGTAACTTGAACTTCTCAAAGATAATTTAACTCTCTTCGCCCATTTTTAAAAATATATAGTTTGCGGAGAAACCTCGAACCAGAGTCTACAAAATATTTTGAATTTTTTTTTGTTGTTGTTTTGATGCTTAAAATGTCTATAATGCTATATGCTTTTCTCAGACCCTAGTGCATGGAAGAAGCCGTTGACACTAAGCGAATGAGACTAGTCAATAAAGACACTGAAAACCAGGTTTTAGATTTTCATTTATACGCACTTCAACTGATCAAGTCCTTTAAGGATAGTATGCAAACCGCATACTTAGAATTTAGCTGCTCCAAGACGTATTTCTATGACATTTGGCTTGGCTGATGTTCCAACCTTGAGGTTTTAGGCTTTTGTTTTTTAACGATACCTAGAGCCTCTTTGTAACGGCAGTGACAAGTAATACAGGCTTCCCGGCCGCCTTCCTCCCTCTAGGATTTTAAGTTCTCTTAGAACACCACCCCTGCTCCTCTAGTAAAAACCCACATGACAGAACAGCCTGAGGACCGAGGAAAAGTAGGAAAGCGGAGCCATGGAAACTGAGCGGGGGAAACGTGTGAGCGCGCGGGTGGTTGGAGGAGAAGGAACACTCCCCTGACGACGGCGGTGCGAGGGGGCTCCTCGGATGACGTCACGCACCCTGGTGACGTCACGGCCGTGACACGCGGGTGACGCCGTTGCCGCGGCGACTCCTCGTCGTCTCCGCCTCCTCCCCCTCCCCCCCTTCCCAATCCCCTCAGGCTCGGCTGCGCCGGGGGCCGCCGGCGGGTTCCTGAGGTGGCCTCCGCCCCGGCCGCTCCGCCCACGCCCCCCGCGCCTCCGCGCCCGCCTCCGCCCACCCTGCGCCTCCCTTCCCCCTCCCCGCCCCGCGGCTGCCGCTCGGCCCCGGCTTGCGCTTCGAAGATGGCGGCGCTGAGTGGCGGCGGTGGCAGCAACAGCGGCGGTGGCGGCGGTGGCGGCGGCGGCGGCGGCGGCAGCGGTGGCGGCGGCGGCCCCGAGCAGGACCAGGCTCTGTTCAATGGAGACATGGAGCCGGAGGCCGGCGCTGGCGCCGCGGCCTCTTCGGCTGTGGACCCGGCCATTCCCGAAGAGGTGAGTGGCGGCGCCATCCCCCAGTGCGCTCGCGTCGGGGACTCGGCGGGCCAGTGTTTATGTGAGGGACGGAGGCAGCGGAGGGAGCTCCGGCTGTGCTTGGCAGCCGGCGGGGCTGTGGATAGCGACTGAGTGTCCCCCACCGTCTGTGGCTCTCCTCGCTACGTAAACACACACGGTGGCCCAGGGGGGTTCCCCGGCCCCCACCCAGATGGGGTTGGGGCAGCGGGGACGGAGCTGGAGCCTTTCCATAGGGGGCGAAACTCTGGGGCTGGTGGAGAAGGTCACGCCTGGCTGAGGTTTCCAGCCCGGCATCCCTGAGATGTTTTTCTTTTTGCTAACCGGCAGGGACGGCGTCGAGGATGGAGCATAGTGGCCGGGGCACTACCCCTGAGTCCCCCAGCCCTAGAAACTGCCATGTGTGATACTCCCTGGATGTGGGCTTGACGGAGCGCCTCTCTCTCCACTCCTCACTATCTTCCCTTTGCAGGCCTTTAGCGCTTTCCCACTTTTCTACTTGTTTGGGGGATTTCTCTCGACCGGATTTGCCCAGGGAATGATTTTGGTGGAGGCTTTACTTTTTCAGCCACCAAATGTGATGTTCCGAAGGTTTTCCCATCCCGGTCTCGGATCTCCGAATGATAGTATTTGCCAGTGTTCCCATGCTGACCCGTAACCTCCATCCCGTCCTCATCCACCACCCCGCTCATTCCCCAGTTGTACCTACTTGCCTCTAACCTTCGCCTCCCCTGAAGAGCATGTTTGCGCTTCTCTTGCCCTGGTCCTTTGAGGCCCTCTCTACTCCATTCCACGGCTCCCTCACCTCGTTATCTATTGTTATCTTCACAAATCCTTCTGGACACTTTGGAAGCTACTCACTCCCTGAACCCCGAAGCTGTCAAGATTCCATCAGGTTTCCCTTGCCTCCTTGCTCCCTCGCTCTGCTGGCAGTGCGGGTTAGCCTTCCACTGTTCATTCACACCTCTTTATTGGCATCTTTCGTGGTTTTTTGTTTTGTTTTGTTTTTAGTGGGTTTAATTGATTTGTCTCGTTCCCACTCTCTTCCATTTTTTTCTCTCTCTCATGTTTACCTGTCCTTTTTTGCTTCTCTTAACTTGTCCTTGCGTCATTTGATGTATTACATTGTCAGATTACTTCATTTCTTCTCTTCTGTATGTAAAGCTGACTACATTTACAGTTTGAGCATTGTATCACATAAACAATGCCATATTTTGCGAATAGTTGATGAGTGTGACTTAATTTTGTTGATTTTGCTTAAAGATAACCTGTTACTTAGGCTTCCCAGTTCTCATACTATCTCCGTTCTTATCTCTGCAGTAATCTATATCCTGCTTCGTTTACTTGGAAATTCATCCTCTATTCTTGACCTATCATTAGTAGTCTGTTCACAGTGATGTTTGTTTTCCAACCTTGCCATCTCTGCCCAAAATGTGTTCAGTATTGTCATTTGAGCTAGTTTATTTCTTCACATTCCCTCCCTCCCTCTCTCCCTCCTTCCCCTTCACCCTCCCTTCCTCCCTCTCATTTTGCTTTTGAGACAGGGTTTCTTTGTGTAGCCCTGGCTGTCCCAGAACTCACTTTGTAGACCAGGCTGGCCTCACACCCACAGAGATCCCATCTGCCTCTCTCTCCCAAATGCTGGGGTTAAAGGCCTGTCCCACCACCGCTCGGCTTTTTCTTATGTCTTCATTTGAAATAACTCCAACTTCCAGTTTGAATTTATGCTCAGGTCAGTTTCCACTTGACTTCTTTATTTCCTGTAGCTTCTTAGATTCCAAGGATAAAGCTCTTCCCTTCATCCATTTCCTAGTTCAATCTGTTTCCCTTATCCCTAGTTACCATTCATTCTGTCTTGTTTCCTGGCTTTTGGTACTTAACTTGCTGAAGCTTCCTCTTGTCTTCCCCACACCTCCACATTCCTTCTTATTTATAAACAACTTTGTTCCGTTGACATGGAAATTTATTTTTAGGATACATTGTTTTTAATGGAGAAATGCTAGGGGTCACATCTGCTGTCTATTTTCTCCAGGAATCGGATATGCCTTTGTCTTGCTAGGCACAGGTGCCTCTGGGCTTCACTTGACTCCGCAGTGCATGTATGGTTCTTGAATTGTAAAGCTGCTTGAAGACTATGATAGTATGAGGAAATTAATGGATAAAAGTTAAAAGATGATCATTCTCTGATATGACGCTAATTTGAGAACTTTGTTTCAGAGTTTATATTTCTGTGTGGAAGACTTTGTTATTTACTTGAGGGAGCTGGATTACTTGGACCCCTTTCTCTCTGAAGTAGTGAGTGTGTTAGGGCTATAACTTTCTGTTTGACACTTTCTGGACATTTCCCATGTATCGGTGCCTGAGAACCTCTAGGCTAAGTGAAGTTAAATTAAATCAGCAATAACTAACTGAAAGCATGGTCATATCTTCTGGAACTGTATTCTTAATTTATTTAGTTAAAATACAGATGTTTCCTATTGCCCCCCTCCCAGGGTTTAATGTTTGATGATGAATAGTTGCCTTGTGTAAAAGATGATTAAATATAGTTGGCTGGCGGAGATTATGATTAAAAAGTGGACCTCTGTTGACTACAGATACAAGTATTACATGTAGCAAAATAGCTTCTTCCAGGAAATAGTATCATGCAGCCCAGGCTTTTGAGGAACTCAGCATGTGACTGAGGCTGTAGAACTCCTGGTCCTTCTGCTGTTACTCTGAAGTGCTGGGATATCCTATCCCCAGCAAGAAATAGTTTTAAGTTGACATTAATTCAGAGGAAACTTAATATCTTGTGGTCTTTTAATTGAACTGCCTTCTTTATATGAACTTAAAAGAATATCTTTAATAAGTACATAGAAAGATGAAAAATTGTGCCTGTGTGTAATGACATATTTTGTTCTAAATTTTTATCTTACCTGGGTTTTAAAAAAGTTTGTCAGAAATTTCAGCTGCACCAACAACTAATTACAAGGGGAAAACCTATCCATTATTGAAAAGTAAAAATAATAAGCATAAAAAGTACAAACTTTGTGTATAATTGCCATAAACATTTGCATGTATTACAACTAGACTTTTTAATGCTTGTGTAATATATTTTATATGTAACTTTTAAAATATAATAGTCCAGCAAAACTTATGTGTCCCTAGGTAAAGTATAATTTAACTGATAACTTTTTTGGACATTAAGTTCTTTTTAAAAAGATTGCTGTTATCATATATCTCCAACATAGAATGTAGACAGTGGTATCTAAAATTATGTTGGAAAATGAACAGATTTCATGGCCTGTATTTCTATTACTTTATGGGTACTGAAAATAAGATGTTCTGATAAATGTTTATTAAGTGTTGTATCATTTTGCTTTTAAGCATTTACTTACTTTCTATTTCCTTGGTGATACTTTCTTCCTGAGACCATATGGTGTGACATGGTACGTGGTATAATATTACCAGATGGTTAATAATAAATGCTTTTATTATTTAAATGTGTGCTACCAAGGTGTGATATTTACTACCTGTGTCTTTCATGTTGTGTTTCTGGAGAAAGAGAGTTTCTTAAAACTGTAATACAGTTAGAATTGTATTACTTTCTGTTTTCAGGATCTCTTAGCCAGTTTTGGCTAAGCTGTGTAATTATAATAATGTATTGGCTAGGGAATATTCTAGGATGGGATCTGCATTATAATGAGGTCCACTGTATTAAAATACTTCTTTGTGATCTTTGTCAGGTTAGGTTGCATCATACCTCTGAAAAGTGATACTTTCACCAAAGTAGGAAGGCATATGTGCAGAAAGTTTTAGCTGTTGTTCTTAATACTTGTTTAGATATTTGCAAAGGTTTTGTTTGGAGGGGGAAGCTATAAAATAACTGTCTTCAGTATTGCTCTCTTTCCCATTTCCTGACTTAACACTCTCACTTTAGGCATTTGTCCTTTTATGTAAAAAAATTACCTTGTATCGGTTGCTTATATATGCAGGCAATCCATTGTAAGTTGACCAAAAGGAATGTTGGGCTGGTGCTTGGATTATGGAATGTCTTAAACATAATTGCAGATTTGATTTAATTGTGTTTGGAGGCCAGAAAGATTATAGTAGTACAACAGACTAGAATAATGAGACTTTTCTCTCCCCCATTTTACTGATATGAAGAATAGGTCTGGTAGCAGTTAAAAGACCTATTCTTTGAGTGGCAGGGAAGAAAGTTAGTGTTGTCCTCGCTGTACTTTGGTGTTTTCTAAGACTTTACCTGCTGAGTCACACAGTGGGGCAACCGCTTCTTCTTTTCCACTTTATCTCCAATCATAAAATTGCCTTCTCCTTCAGAGCTGCAGAAGTGCATTTTGTTTCGCTGACAACTTAATATTAATTTAAGTGAGTACTTAGTGAACTTGTTGTCACAATCCCTTTCTTTTTAAAAGTCTTGTTTGCCCCTGTTCCCAGATTCCTATGTCAGATTCGTATTAAGATAAGCCTTTTTGTCAGCAGCTTTTTACTAGATTTTGTCTTCCTCAGAAGTTAAATTGTTTGCAGCCCTTTATTCTTTCTCCTTGCCTGGTTCACCTGTGTTCATTCTTCAGTAAAGCCCCAACTATAAATAATTATAGAACTTCTGCATTCAAAATAAGCAGGCCTGTTTGGGAGCTTTTCTGGTTTTGAGGTCACGCTGTGCTTTCTTTATCTTAGTGTTAGAGATAACTTCATGTTAATATAACAAGAAATTCATCCCCATTGATTCACATACTCTTTCTTTAAATAGTTCATGGATGCATTGACATGTTTTGGAAGGCAGTTTTTTTGTTTGTTTTTAGTGTTTACTAACCTAATTAATATCATACTTAATAAGCCATGATAGTCAGGAGTCCATACCTAATTTTAAGGAGTCTATACCTAACACAGTCTATACCTAACTTTAAAGAGTTATTTTTTTCTCCTATGGTTATTTTTGCTTTCTAATGTTTTCTCTTGCTCTTAAAAAACATCAAAAG